GCTTGCTTGCTTGCTGGCTTGCTTGCTTGCTGGCTTGATTACGTACTTACTTGCTTGCTTGCTGGCTTGCTTACGACCTAGCTTGCTTGCTTGCATGCTTGCTTGCTGGCTTGCTTGCTTGAAAGCTTGCTTGCTAGCTTGCTTTCTTGCTTGCATGCTTGCTTGCTGATGATGATGATGATTGTAATAAATTGTAACGCCTTTATTTTTAAATGTTTATTTGCTAATTTTATACAAAGGAATGTCTGTCTAAAGCCGTACATCGAGATTTTTATCAGCTCTTTACAAACAAAAAGAAGAGCAAAAAGCAATGGCTCGCTGACAGAAATAGTACAACATATATACCAGGTTACTCAAAAGTATTTACATATATCATATATAACACATATAATATGCCTTAATTAGATTTTAAATTATTTGAATAAATAGTTTTATTGGCGGTATAATATTTGTAACTTAGGACTGAAATTTTATTTTTGCAAATATTTATTTAAGCTTAAACATTGATTATGTCTGACAAAATTACGTCGTAAATTTTACTCAATTTTTTGCAGTTTCATTGTGTTTGCTTGATATGTAATTAATGTGATCACAGAATTTTCCTTTTTTTATCTATACTGTCTAGAAATGATTCATGATTTGGTATTAATTTTAGTTATACCCAAACACACCAAACTTATTCAATTGATTAAGTATCTGATAAAAGGTGACGCCATCATCATACGAGTGGGTTAAAAAAATCTCAATTTAGTATCTTTTTCTATATCGGCGTTTTTTATCAATAAATAAATGAACTTTTTACGTTTGCGAAAATCAGATCAGATTTATAACAAACCTGATAAAAGTGCGAAAATATATTATTAATATAGAAAAGTAATTCTTTGATAATACACCCTGTATTATCAAAGATTTACTGATAAGTATCTACTTATACCTCGGGAGCACACAGGGGAGGACAAAATAACTACTATTTCCTATAATTTTTAATCCTGGAGATTTACGTTTAGTTAGTAAAAGTTATTTCCTAGTATTTACGAGTGTTGAAACAACTGAGTTCTTTTGGATGCAGATCGGGTGATCTAGGTCTTTATAAGAACTCGCCCCACCTTAACGAAGTGGTGCACAATCATGCATTTACCTCATTTTGAACACTTGCCTATGGTAACATTAACCAAAGGTGTTTTAATTTATTTTTAATATTTATCTCGATTCTCTTAAATTATTTCTAAAACAGTTGTTGCTGCCCTTGTATTAATTGTTTTATATGCTCCCGGAGTATTACATACTTACCGGACACCCTGTATATTACCTGTTCCGGGTGCAATGCAGTTCATAACCAAACAGAACCAAGCCAAACAAATTGGAAGAGCTGGTATGGCTCCCCTCATATGAGACGTCTGTTCTACCAAACTTATATCTATTTTTGATCTTGTATTCTGGAATAATGGATAAGACTAACAATTATAATTATTAGTGGTAAAATATTCGTCTTAAATAGTAATACCACCGATTTTACATCCAAAATTGGCACTTTATTGAGTCACAAACTAATTTTGAAAAATTTTATTCATTCATACAATTATTTTTGGAATATGCTAATTGCAATTTTCTAAATATTTATTTTTTCACAATACATGGGAGATTCTTAAGACAATTACTTACCTCTGGGGGAGGTACAGATGTAGGTGTTAAACTTTTCTTCTTACTATTTATGGAAGCTTTTCGACTAATAGAATCTTCTGAAGCCTTACCCTTGCAACACAAGTTGATGCAGAATATTGTTTTCAGGAAATCTTTACAACAATCTTTCGAACATTTAGACCTACAAAAATATAATCCGTTTATACTTAGTTTGAAATAGTCATATACGAGAAATATTTGGTATTTTTGACACGCCCCAAACTTTTTACTGAAACAATATTTCTTCATTTCTTCCATAAAGTCCCACGTAACATTTTCTTTAATGCATACCTACTACTCCGAATTGTTTTTCATAGTGGCAGAGAAATCTACTTAAGAGTTATTTTTGTATCGTCTTACCCCAAAAATTAAATTAATTTTCACTAAGCAAATAAATGTGGTTTATTCCCCTAGTACCTACAACAAATGAGTTACATACCTGGTGGGTTGTTCCTGCTGACTGCCAAGAATACTGTCCCTGCGCTCCACCCAACTGTCTTTCCTTTTTCCTTTAGGAAAACAACTCGTATCCGTAACTTTATGCTTATTACAACATTTCAATTTATCCCACAGTTTCGTCTTTTTGCCAGTTTCATCCTCAATGTTTATCACCACAGGTGACTGCGACTTCTTCTTGAGACAACCGAAGCATCCTTTAGGTTCCACTGGTACCTTGTCCTGGATTTCGGGACTAGATTCTTTCTTACAACACTTACAAGACATTTTGCTCTTGCAGTTGGAAAAAAACCTGCTGCAGGCATTTTTTGGAGGCGTTTCTTTTTCAGGCTCATTTGGCGGCGATGCCTGGTCAGGTGGTAGACTAAAAAAAATAATAGATAATTAAATTACTTAAACTTCCAACTTACGTACAAGATTTAGTTTTACTACTTGTAATAATAAGAGATGCGAGCTGATTTGATGACAACAAATGGCAAACCATTAGGTTATGAATTATTAACTGAAGATAAATATACAGTCAAATTGATCATGCATTAAAGGAGGACATTATTTACGTAGCTAATAGCTATTCCTTCAACTGATTTTAAGAAAATTTTGAGGTCAAAGCGAAAATATTGGGGTAAAGAACATGTAAGAATGCAATTTGTAACGAATATTATATTTATGGGAAAAAGACATTTATATTATTGGCAGTATTGTTAAAAGACATTATAATCATACATTACAATACAATTTTGTATTCGAATTAAGTTTTATTAAGTAGATGAGAAGTGATAATTTGATTTTTGCACGAAGGATTTACAGGTGCAGCGATAATAGTTAGGCGCTAAAAACAGAATAATTGCATGAGTTATATAAGTAGCGGTATTATTCGAGATACATTACACGAAAGCTGCTCACGTGAGTTCAAATAATTGTTGAAATAATTGTTTAAGTAAGTCATACAGCGGTGCCACTTAAAAATGCGAATAGTCACGCATTAGATTGTATCAGAAAAACTAAGAAGTTTTTACCTATACCCTCCATTTTCGAGATATCCATGGTCGTCGTGATCCTCATGCAAGGGCATAACGTAAATAAAAGTCATTTTGGCATAGGCGCGAACACAATTGCATTGAACTGATTAGTAAGAAGAAAGATTGTTGGGGTGAATGTTGCGAGTTCGATAAAAATTCTTACACTGAATTTCTTTCCTCAAAAAATTTTCGTGTCAACTGCCGTAATTACATATGCAGCATATATCGATTCGCATTTACATTTTTCCGCAGCGTTATATTAAATATGTGAGTTTATTTGGGCCTGTGGCAGTGCGACTGTATACATTTAATTGAAATGTTTATGTTTCATTTATCGTCCTTGAGATAAAACCAAAATATATCTTTTGCAGATCCCTAGATCGTATCACAAAATTCACTGGGTCTTATTATACCTACAGTGGTTTTTAAGTAACTGTAACAGTTGGTAAATAATTCAAATTGAAATTTTACTTTTAGAATTCGTTTTAATTTTGTTACTAGAAAATATCGTCACAGAAAACTTTTGCAACTGTTGTCTTTTTTAACCCCAGTGAAGGCTAATTTAATTCAAAGATTTTTTCTACCTACTTCAACATACATTTCATAAGATAGAAGGCTAAGAAAAATGATACTTATATGAATCTACAATAACGATTTCTAGGGACAAATGTAATGAGATTGTACAAGTGAATTTGACAAATATTTAATTGTTAAAAAAAATTATTCTAGATGTGAAATATATGCATGCTTATCAATATATATTAAAATTATCTTAGTAAAAGAAGAACTTTGTTTAAAAAACAATACAAGTATTTTTACAAAATACACGTCATATTTACTTTTATTGAAGCTAAACTACGTAAAACCAGTTCCTTTTGGATACAAAAAAGATTATAAATAATGTATTATTTTATAAACAAATTCATTTTCACGTAATATCGAATGTACTGAACTAAAGATAAAACATCTACAAAATATATCAATTTTCAGCACTCTACTCTCACAACAATGGTAGACATATATTTCATTGGTACCATTTATACTTATCGACTACGCTCACAGTTATAAGGGTCATATTTTATTAGGAAGCGATTCTAAAATGAGTTACTGTCACAAGCACTTTTATCCCGGTTTAAATTTTTATAATTGCAAAATATGCAATGTGCAAATTATTTTGTATTGTTAGCGTCGCGAGTTTCAACGTGTCAAGCGCCACTTTCACAACTTCAATGCGGCCAAGAACGACTTACATTATGGGCTGGACATAGTCCAAGCCTCGCCATGGGCGTGCCACATTCTAATATCCCTAATATCCACAACCCAAATTTTCAATTTAATTTTATTGCCTCTGAGTATAATGGGCGATTTGGTGCATTACCAAATGAATTTTAGATAAGATTTAAATTAGAGGAAACAAGAAAATTAATAGATATTCTGTCAATATTCAAAAGTTAGTTCAATTCAAATGTTCCAATTTTCCAAAACTAATAAAATTGATGTGATACTTTTTATAATTGATATGGGTCCTTCTTCAATAAAGTTCTTGTACCAAATAACACTGCGTCCCTAATAAAATTGCAATCCCGCCGTTTTGATCATTTTCAGAAAGTCCTATTTCTTAAAAACAGGTGAATCGAAGTACTATAAAAATTGTTAGTAGCTTTTTTCGAGTCTTTTATGACCAAAATTTATTTTGAAGTTTTACTTGGTCTAAATATGACTACTTTGGTCATTGGGAGATTTGTTTTTACTCCCAATAAATCAAGGAAAGTTGATATCGAATAAAAGAAAAATCTGCAGCCTAAAGAAAGGTGATTTGTACGTCAAGTACAGCATCTGTACTGCATTGCAAAAGAAAGTGACTTAAAAATTGTGCTATTAATATTTGTTATTATTTGGCAATTGATTTCAAATTTTTTTCAAACTTTTTGCGACATATTGTCTTGACATTGGGTCAAAGGGTGCTAAAATGACGCTAATGTATTAGTTTTTTACATTTAATAATAAAAAATAAACTTTGTCTTGTGGAAGTGATCGTGGCGCATTCGCCATTTTATCGAATCTGCCACTTTTTATTTGTGTTTATTTAAAACATTTATATATAAATTCTTCCGTCATTTCGTTATTCTTCTGCCCATAGGTGATTAGGAGATCAGATACTGAAATTTGAATAATTTTTATACAGGGTTAACACTGTTTAAAAATTTTAAACCCACATTCCTGATGATAAACGCATTAAAATCACATAGTTATTAAGCAAGAACAATTGCACCTGTGAAAATTAAGTAAAGAATGCATGGCAAACTACAAATTTTGTACAGAAGTCACGTGGTCTGACAACAATACAAATTGATATTGAGTAACTGAATCATGTTTATTAGACAATATTATTATTTTTTTAATGTACTAATAATTCTATTTGTAGATATGTTTACACTTTGGTATCCATAGCAAGAATAGCTCTTCCTTGTGCTGGTGTACAAATCGTAGTTGCTCGTATATCTAATAATTATTTGGTAATAAAATGATACGCCATTGAACAATCTGCACACGCCATTTTCTACTTGACTGCCACCCTACCAGACATTAGTCTCACGCAAACGTGTATTAAGAAAACCAACCCCCATAACCCGTTCCCTTGTTCTCCTTAATCACCCCTAACCTGCCTTAAAAATGCTTATACCGATATTGTCAGGGTTGGCCGTTTTTCTTTTGCTGTGTACTGATATGTTTGCTAAACAACAAATCACCCGTAAAATGGATTTAGTTATAGATAAGTGGGGTATTTACATTTCGTGTTGCTATTTTTGCACGTTATGTATTCCGAAAATTATACAGCAACCAAGTGGTTTTATTATAATTGTTGTGTGCAGCGTAAATATGAGCATTTTATAAATATGAGTTGATTAGTATTTAGGGGACATTCTTTGGTTGATACGTAGAAATCTGTATTTTTAATAAACGGTTCTATTTTTTTTTAATTTCAAAGCTCCATTAGGTCGCCAATAATTTGACAATAATAGAATTACAACATAACATTTATATCAAAATTGTTACTTATTTGTTATAAATATTTATATTGAATGTACACAGGACAATTATTGAGTGTTGATGTTCCAGTTGATTTCGGAATCATAATATTTGAATTTCTGGCAGTGTGAAAGTTTTGCGAAAACACACCATATCGTGTATGAATAGAAATGCGCTCATATTTGCAGGGTATCTTTAAGTTTTCGTTTTCTCATAACCCGTTATAATTTGTGTCGACAAAAAAGCCTTAGCTCTAAAAATTGACAACGAATTTCTTGTTAAAATAAATTACAGGTACTATGAAACCATCCACCGAAAGGCTTTGTTAATTTTCACAAAGCCGCACTTGAAAAAAGTGGTTCGTTTCACGTAACACAATAAACTTTAAATTAGCTTCACAAAATGCCCCACTACACCATTTTACCTCTAAAGTAGTAATTTATTTCTTTATTGCACATATGCTTGGAAAATCCTTTGTAGGTGATCATTAATCCTTCGACTCGACAACAGGATAATAATTTATTTTCTTGGAAATTATCTATGGCGCACCCGAAAAATAATATATAAATATGTTGCTTCACCTTGAACGTACGAAAAGTGTTGATTAATGATCACGTAATTTATTGGTTTAGCGTTACTTGGAAATTTGCAACGCTAATGATATGTTTATTAGAATTATGTAGTGGAACTAGGCACTAGAGTAAGGTTGGATTTTTTTTCTCAATTTATTTGGTATTTTGTGAAAAAATTAACAAAATTGGTGAAATAATGAGTTAAGGGTTATTTTCATGAAAATTGTTCTGCCTAATCAAAAATCTCACAATGAAGAAGGCAAATATGAAATACAAAAAACACCACTATACTAGGTGATCACCGAGATGTCCGAAATACTTCGTACATGAATTCTATGACTAATTTTAAGCAAAAATGATTCTATTTACTTTTTCGGCCAATGCTTCTTAAAATATCGGGGTTTGAAGTTACCAGATCATATGGTTAGTTGCCCAAGAGTAAATTACATTGTTGCGAGTAGAGAGCTAGGCAATTTAATAATTAGCAACTGCTGAGATTAAAAAAAATGTTAACTGTCACTTCGATAATTGTCGTCATTGACAGATTTTTGCGTCTTTTGTCTTTAATTTATTCAAATAAAGAATACGCGCCATGATTTTCGTGTACGTGTATAGCAACGGTAGAAGCAAACGTTCAATCGAACCTTCACAATTCTTCCATTAACAGGTGCGTTCCGTAAACCGAGTCGTGAAATAGTAGCTATACGAAGAAACAATGCTGCAGAAGTGCTAGAGCATGTTGA